CATTTACATTCAATTATTCTTCGACCGGCGTCTCGATGCTACTGCTGCACGGCTTCTAGAAAATCTCGCTGCCACGATGCAGAGATAACGCCGCCCACAGTTAGCCGCGCCGTGTTTCGCTTCGTCGCTCTGGCCGGCAGAAGTTTGCTTTTTCAGTAGCCGTTAGGTTCTTCAACTTTGCTGCTTCTAGGTAACGCCGCGAAGTTGTCGAGACGTTCGATCCTAGGATGAAGCACCTGCGGACAACAACTGGATTACGGAACGATTATATCTACTTGGTCGCTCTAGATGGCAGAAGTTTGTTGTTTTTTTTTCAATTGATGAATCAATGACGAGCCCTCGGATCATCTGGGTTCTAGAAAACTGTGTCAGCCGCTGCAGGTGCTAGCCTCTAGGGTGAACGACCTGTACAGCCTATAGCTGACTCGCCCTTTCAATTGCGAAAGCGCCAATTAACTTTTCCACTTTGTCCTCGAAGAAAAGCGATTCGATTCTGCCAAAGGGCTGTCGTTTGATCGACTGGATTGCTAAGAAATCGGTGAAACCGAGACCAACTAGGCCAGCTTCGTGAACGGTTGTATCGCGGAAAAGGTGGAGGACAGAGGGTTCGTCGGCTAAACACGGGGCGCAGCTGCTGATTGGAACGGCGCGTTCGCAGGTGCGACTCCAACAGGCGTCCGAACGTAATCCGTCGGCACGTTACTGATCGGTCAGGCCTTGCCTGGCTTCTCTGCCATCTTTTGTCGCCGCTGTTAAAGACCGTTGGGCCGTGCCAGGGACTTGCTCGAAGTGCACACTTGGTGTGAGCTACTTGGCAGCCTCGCGGTTGTACACAGTCGGTTCGAAGCAGATGGGGAGACTAGGAGAGAAAGAGAGAGAGAGAGAGAGAGAGAGAGAGAGAGAGAGAGAGAGAGCAAGTGCGAGAGATCGTATTGGACGTTGACCCGCGTGGTTCAACTGTTGCTCCCATTCGTGCATCCGGGAACGCGTGTAGGACGGCCTAGGGATCCCGATGATAGAGGAGCCTTCAGTCAGATAGGTCCGCCAGTCTCCCCCACCAGCCCCGAACGGCTGAACAACGACTGATCCACGCGAACATCGCACGGGAGTTTCTTCTTTGATAAGGGCGATAAACGGAATCTGGGTCGAACAAGCTCTAAGCCACAGACACGTTTTTCCGCGACGAATGTCGTGAACGCGGTCCCGTCCATTAATTACACATTCCTCGGGAGAGGCTGGACTCCTCTCTCCGAAGCTGCATCAACATTTTTAGATGTATCGCTCGGGCAAAAACGGTGATTTCACGTTGGTGTAATGGAATCGTCGCGAGGGTTGATCGATAGCACCCTCAGAAATGAATGGAATTTTGGAGCACCCGGGGGACGCGACGATACCCTAAATTCTAAACTGGAAGGATCTTCGGGGTTTCATTTATGAACGCTGGACAAGTTTTCCAGCTGGTCTTGGTACGTTCAGTTTCGTAGGGCGCGTAGCGCAGAGTTACCTCTGGAGTTACTTCTTCGAGAGAGCGATCATAGGGAGATCTTCCAGGTACGCGTATCGTGCGTAGGTTCTCGATGGGGGTGATCCTGGAAAACAGCCCTGATCTTCAAAATTAGTTGCAGCGCGAAGTCGAACATCGGAATCGTCTCTTTTTAAAGATTCGAAGTCGTTGAAACTTCTTCCGGCTGTCTCCCGGGGGATAGACCCTCGAGAGGGATGCTTCGGACTGCCAGCAATCCGGCTCACGACTTGAAAATTCGTGTCGCTGTCGAGTCGATCATCGGAACCAGCTCTTCGGAGAATTCGAAGTCGGAGAGAAACTTTTCCCGGGCGCCTTCGTAGCACAGATTCTCAAAGGGGTTGGAGCCGCCCTATCTTGGAAACTCGTTTCGTTGCCAGAGGCTGTAGTTTTCCGTGCTGCGAGCGGAGGGACGGTTATCGTAGAATGGGAACCGCCAACGGCAACCTGTCACGCTCGACAATGGCGTCCTGGCGACGCCGGTAGTCGGCCGGTACTCGGGCGCCGCGGCGCCAGCGTCGCTCATCCCTTCCCTCTGGTTTCATCAGCCCAGGCGGTCTTCTCTCGAAACCACCGCGTCGTCCTGCCTGGGTGTGGTTCTCGAAACCCCGTCGAAGATCGGTGCGTCCGGCTTTGTGGGTCTCTTCGTTCGCCCTTAGTCTTATTCGGACGTGTCCAGCCAGTGGACGTCGACCAGAAGAGGATTCGCTCGCGTGTGCACCCTGACTGAGCAACAGACGAGGAGGAGAGAGGGTAGTAAAGCTGAGAACGTAGAGAAAGAGAGAGGGAGAGAGAGAGAGAGAGAGAGAGAAAGCGGCGAGGGAGTGAAAGGGGCGAGCCACGACTCTGTTCATCGATTCCTTGCTTCGACGGTTCCTGTGAACGCGACATGAAAAAAGAGCCGCTCGCACCAATGGGCGCGATTCACCGGCCCTCGTACTACGTGTGCGTGCGTGATCCTCTTCCGTGCTAGAACTCTCCCTTCCTCTCACCCTCTCCCGCTCTCTCTCTCTCTCTCGCTCTCTCTCTCTCTCTCTCTCTCTCTCTGTCTGAGACACCTTTCGCCGGAATTTCTGGCGTTCCAGCGGGGGCGCAATCTGGCGGTGGAACACGGGCACGGCCAGGCTACTCCTCGCCCTCCTCGAGAACGTTGCACGCCGGGAGGTTATGTTGCCGAGGGATCCATGACGCTCTGACGACGGGGGAAGACGGACGGAGCGTGTAAGTTCACCTGGAACTGCCTCTTCGAGCTCTCGATCCCCTTCTGCGAAGCTTCCTGGCACTTGTTGAGACGAGAACCGCCTGGAAATATTAATAACAGGGAGTTCGCCCTCTTGCACCCTTCGCGGAGGTGTCGAAGTGGCCCCGGGGGTTGGAAGTTGAGATTCGGAGAGGAACGTGGCCTGGCGAGCCTCTCTTCGCACTTGTTGAGAAGAGAATTATGCTACAAAATGTGAATACCAGTGATGTACATCTTTGGTGGGGGCGGTGAAGCGGTCGTGGGGGTTGGAAGTTCGGTTTCGGCGGCTAGAACGATTCGGTTCGCCCTTCGTCTCCTTCTGTGAATTTTTCCGGCGCTCGTTGAGCCGCGAATTGTCTGGAATTGTGAATACCGCCGGTGTACACCCTGTCGCGTACACCCTCTCTCGAGACGTCAGAGTCAGTTCTAAGTTCCAGCGACGAGAGCGATCCGGTTTGCTCTCGATTTTCTTCGGTGAACTCTTCCGGCACTTGTTGAGACGTGTACTACCTGAAAACCTAAATACCACGGCGACGGTACACCCCCTCGCCGTCTCGCCAGGGGTGTTGGAAGTTGAGTCATAGTGTCTAGAGCGAGTCTCGGTTTGCTTCTGTGAATTTTTCTGGCACTTGCCGAGAAGTGAGCCGCTCGGAAACGCGAGCAAGGGAGCGGACCCTCCGTTGCACCCTCGGCGAGGGTGTTTGAAGCGATCCGGAGGGTAGGAGCTTCAGTTCCAGCGACGTGAACGATCCACCTCCGCTTCTGTGAATTTTTCTGCAACTTGTTGAGAAGCAAACTGCCTGGAAATGCGAATAGAAGGGTGTACACCCTCCGCGGCGTCCTTGGCGGGGGAGGGTCTGAAGCTGTTCTAGCTGTTCTGTTTGCTTCTGTGAATTATTCTGGCGCTCGTTGAGAAGTGAACTGCCTGGAATCGTGAATAATGGGGAGCTCGCGCTCGGCTGCGGATGTTTCTGGAGAAGTTCTAGAGGAAGAAAGTTGATTTCGAGTGATGAGCAGCGGTTGAAAAGTGAACGAGAGAAAGAGAGAGAGAAAGAGAAGTAGGCAGGTGGTGTTCTTGGTGCAGGTGTTCGACGCGTTCCTAGGGGTCGAAAGTCGAACTCTTACGAGACAAGGATGTTCGTTTCGCGAATTTGTCGGCAGGTTAGTTTCTACGGGACACCCTGTATAGTTCTCGGTTTCATCGTGGTTGCTCATGCGCCGAGCGACCCCATCGGTTCCGGAAAATGAGAACAACTTGCGTTAGATCGACAACCCTCGGATTCCCCGGGTTGTGAGACCTTTTGGAGGTGAAGGATGCCCGTCGCCGCCGAATTCCGATGGAACCTGAAAAATCCGCAGGCCTATCTGTCGCGAAACTCCGTTCCCCTTGTTTCTCGCTCGGTTCGTGAGAATCCGGCCGATGCCGAACGAGCTCGATCGTGAGTTTCTCGCGAGTCTTTCCAACGATTACCAGCAAATTCGTAGATAACGCACGTCTGCCATGGTCGCGGTCGGTTCGTTAGATAAAAATAGCACGTTCCCAGCGGAATCCTCGCGCGTACGACGGCCCGCTTCAAGGAACGCTTCGTTTTTCTTTCCTTTTTTCCCGTGAATTCAAGCCGGGAATAGGGGAGCAAGCTGGAAACCCAGAAGCAGGATGTCTTCTTTATCTACTCGAAGATTAATGACGCTCTACTAGCGCGCTAACGAAAAAAATGTGCTGTCCGTGACACGAATGCGCTTTACTCGGCGACCAGAATAGAACGATTAATGCGTTCCTGCTTGTACGGTCCCGTGATAGACTAATATTCCGACAACTAATTAACCGCTCGGAAGCAAGCAGTCCTCGAACTTGGAACCTGCTTAAAGATTCACCGGGCCAAAGATCAAACTCGGAAGTCTTTTCTAGTTCCCCGAGAGATTATAATTAACTAACGATCCGGAAATGAACTGCAAAGTTTGCGTCAGGTACCTTTGGTATTTTCGATCCGAGCCTTTCAAAAGGGACCAGCCGGATTCTTTTCATTTTATCGGGACGCGTTAATAGTAGGGTTCAGAAGTCGATCGGTGCAAGTATGTGCGACGCGTTATCTTTTCCTTTGGAGCTGCCGCCGATCGATTTCTAAGCCCGTTGGTCACAATCGGTCCCGAAAGTTTGCACTTTTTACGAGCCAAATCGGCAGCGATCCGTTTGCTTGTTCTCGAAGTTAGATCTAATTTTGACGAATCTGTTAACAGGGGTGGCAACGGTCTCGCTAGGAGGTGTCGAAGCTGGCGCGAGGGGCGGGAGAGTCAGCGGTGGCCTGACTCTGGTTCCGGTGGTAGCGGCGGAAACGGAAGCCGTGCAAGAAGCAGCAGCAGATCTGAGGGAAGCATCAGGCCCGAAAAGAGAAGAGACCGGCGAAGCCAGTTGGAGAGGGAGACTCGATATTCTTCTTCTCGTTCTTCTTCTTCTACCTATTCCTGTTCCCGGTGGTGGAAAACTCGACGAACTGCGTTGCCCGTCGAAAGAAGCGTCGACGGCGTGACACTGGGCCCCAGCTACCTTCCAAGCTCGAAGGCGAACGAGATAGAAGCCGCGAGACCCTCGAGAACCACGTTTTAAGGCTCGCCGGGGGTTCAACCACCTCCACCTCCTCACGAGACACCCTCTACCGCCCTTGACGGGTGTCCCCGTGACCGACGTATCGCTAGACAGACATCATGAGCGAGCTCGAAACCCTTCGCCAGGAGGCGGAAACTCTCAAGAATGCTGTTCGAGTAAGTTCGATCTTTCCATCGCAACCCATTCCCTCGCTTCAACCGCGATTATGCCATTAGGGTTGATCCTTGAGCGCGCTTTCAATTTCCGACTCGACGAACGCAATAATTTCCGCGACATGTTCATTGTTCAATTTCGTTGAATTGTTACATTTTACTTAACATTGACAGAGTTTGTGTGGACCATTAGTCGGACCCCGGAGTTCGCTTAAGGGTTGACTCGAAGGGACTACCGTTCGCACTTCGGATACATTTTCTTCGTGCGTTATCTCGACCAATTTATCTGTTTTTCATTACAAATATTTGATGATTACATGAAAAATCTAAAGATTCTTTTTCTCATAAGAAATCGTTTTGCGATAATGAGGTTTAGCATTGAAAAAAGGCCATATGACAAAGCGCTAAATTGTAATAATAATTTTCGCGTGTTTCCTTATAAACGAAGCATGGGGATTTAATAATGTACGGGGGTGGTTTAATAACTTCGCTTAGAACAAAGGTTTCCAGGATTGGTTTCAGTGCTGGTTTCTATCGCTCCCCACGCGGAATTCCATATCGCGAGAATTTCCTGCCAATGAATTATCTGGAAACCGTGAACGATAGCGCGGCCTGCTATCATTGGGCGGTGTCCCGTTCGACGTTAGGGCGTTTTAGCGCGAATTATTTCTACGGCGATCTATATATTGTAGGCGGTAGTTCGCCTAGACAAGGGCTTGGGTGCGTCGCTGAAATTGGCCCGACACTTTCACACATTCTCATTGTTCGCCGGCGGTCTCGGAGACATCGGGGACAAAGCAACAGTTCTCCATGCAACAGCGGTGTATTGTCTCAAAAGAAAAAAGTCTAGGGCGTCTCTCTCCTGCCCGAAGTGCACTTGGCATTAAACAACCGACCCCTATCCTGTCCCTAACGAGTCAGCGATTTTTTATTTTCCGTCGTGCTCGACCCTAAGGGCTGGAAACAAAATCGCAAACATTATTTAGAAATCCTCTTCCTCCTTCGGCGCATCTGGAATCGTTCTAGTACGGAGAGCTACGTCTTCTTAAACCCCGTTGGCAGCTCCAACTTCTTTTCATGGACGTACAAACATTTCTAGAACCAGAAACTAGAAAATATTTGGATTCCGATTAGTACGTTCCAATTTGAAGAAGCTGATGCGATAAAAGGTCAGCTCCATTTTCGAGTAGCGGCTTGACCCTTCGGCGGTCGGAAATCAAACATTTCGTTCGGTTACGCGGCTAACGAAAGATCAAGATTGTTCAGTTTTCCTGTTATTCGAGTCTCGAATACGCGTTGCAGTTTTCCGTGGAAAATGTTCTCGGTACTTGTCCGCAAAGGGTTAAAAATGAAACGAGCCTGGAAACTATTGCCGCACCGCACCGGTACGAAACGCGCCTGTAATCAATCGTGGATTACAAAGACGTGCACGACCGTGCCCATTTTTTCTTGAAAATCGATACTCGATATCGAGATAGGGTCCCTTTATAAATAGTATTAGGAGATCGCCTGCCCTATCATCTCCGAATCTCTTTGAAATTGGGCCACACGGCTCTCGTCCCATTCAAGCATGTAAGACCGAACAATGCGAGTCCCCTTTGTGTCGGGCATCGTTCGTAAAAAAGGAGAAAAAGATAGCCCTTTTCGACCCCCGTGTGTTAGCCGGGGGTGGGAATCCGGCGCGATTCCTTGGTCAATTAGTTCGATCGTTTAAACAGTCGTCGCTGTAGGAGTCGGAAGTTCCGCGGGAATTAGAAGCCCTTTCCGGTGGAAAATCCTTGTCGATGGCGATTCCTGTGTGCATGGTGAAAACGTGGAAGCCCGGAGGTGTAGTAGTAGTAGTGTGGTGTGTGGTGGTGGTAGGGCGCGGCATAACCGTCGCTTCTCTCTGATCAATACGCCGCCGTCCCTCTCTCTCACTCTCTTTCTCTCTGTCTCTCTTTCTCTCTCTCTCTCTCTCTCTCTCTCTCTCTCTCCAGCTTTCGGTCTTGTTTCTTCTCGACGCGTGTTTCTCTCTTTCTCCCTTCGTCCAGCGTGCGTGAAATTACACGCGTCGTCGGCCGTGCACGCTAATGCGCCGCCTGCGATAAATAGAATCAACGTTTTTAACGTGCCACGTTCCTCTCCCTTTCTCTCCTTTTCTCCCTTCGCTTTCTCCGTTTCTACGATTTCGAATCGGCCACGGACGCGACACTCTGCCATCGACGTTTTCCTGGAAAGCTCCCCGCACGTATCGGCACGAAACACGCCGTTAATTAGGACTCTTCAACTGAATCATGACTGCATTCTTCGAGTATGAGCACGCTGTTGCATTCCCAGTCGTCGCGAAAGGTCAACGCGATCATCCGTCGCCTATCCAACGTCTGTTCCTCCCTTTTTTTCCAAGCCCTAAATCCTCTTTTTCTTTTTTCAAACAGCCGAACGTGATACATGGCTGGCCACGCGACTTCTGACCTTCCGAGATTTTTTCGTCAGCCACGTTTTCCCATCTAATCGACGCCTAGTTTTGTCACAGATGTTTCTCTGATCGCAATGTTTTGTGAATCACCATAGAGACGACAGTCTATGGTTCGCTATAGTTTGTGAAATAAATTATGCATAGTTTGAGGAAATTATCGAATTCATTTTTAGGCAGAACGTTGTCGAATTGTGTGTCGCAGTGCAAATCACACGATCGAGCGGAAGCTTCGAAAATTTGGAGATTTTAATGAAAAGACGACGACTACTCCGTTCATAGTTTCATCGATTATAGTAGTTGAACTTCGCGACTTCGGCTCCGACTTCCTTGTTCCCCTGTTCCCCTGTTCAATGATTCGAATGTTCGATAATTAATTCGACGTGTTTTGTACAGGATGCCCGGAAAGCAGCATGCGACACGACGTTGGTGCAGGCCACGTCGAACATGGACCCGATCGGACGGATACAGATGCGTACGAGACGCACGCTGCGCGGTCACTTAGCCAAGATTTACGCGATGCACTGGGGCAGCGACTCAAGGTACAAGCATCGTCTCATTTTGATAGTTAGTAGCGGAAGTATCGAAGTGATTGGATCGATGAAACAACAGCTTGGTTAACAGAAATTTAGTATCGGCGTCGCAAGACGGCAAGCTAATCGTATGGGACAGTTACACCACGAACAAAGTCCATGCGATCCCCCTGCGATCCTCGTGGGTGATGACCTGTGCGTACGCTCCGTCAGGCAGCTACGTGGCCTGCGGTGGCCTGGACAACATTTGTTCCATCTATAGTCTGAAAACGAGAGAAGGAAACGTGAGAGTTAGCAGAGAGCTGCCGGGACACACCGGGTACTTGTCCTGCTGTCGATTCTACGACGACAGCCAGATCGTAACCAGTTCCGGGGACATGACTTGGTAAGGAACCGCTTCAACGATCCCTCCCGATGCCATTTCTGGATCCTCGTTAATCCTTAGCCCCGTTGCATCGAGTTAGACCGTCGCTTGGTTAGATTGGATTTGGTTAATTCAGATAATTGCCCACAAAGTACTGAAAATGCTACATTCCCTAAGTATGAACGATGATTGCTAAGACGCCGAATACAAAAGTAAAGAAACAAGGTAATGGTAAAAACACATGAACGATGCAGTGAACAGTCGCATACTTCTAAATACGTACAGTATTTCCCGATTCCTTACCAATAACAAGAGGCAAGGGGTTGAAGTAGCTAGAGTAACCTGCTACCCCTAGGAGGCCGCAGTAGAGGGTTTAAATCGAGTTTGGATAGAGCCGAGAATGGTCCGTGTTTTCCCTTGTGTTCCCCTGCTTCCCAATTGGTAATTATGTCAGCCGTGGAAGTGTTCGAACCTCCTCGAAAACGGATACTCTTTTTGCCGGACCAGTTCCCTGTGGGACATAGAGACTGGACATCAGTGCACCTCGTTTATCGGACACACGGGAGACGTGATGTCCCTCTCGTTGGCACCGGACACCCGCACATTCGTATCCGGTGCGTGCGACGCCAGTGCAAAACTCTGGGATATTCGCGAGGGATCGTGCAAGCAGACTTTCCCGGGTCACGAGAGTGACATCAACGCTGTCACGGTGAGGATCCTCGCTTTCTTAACAACTTTCCTCCGCTCGTCACGCTACCGTAATCACTAGACTGCGGACTTTATGCGATCACCATTTATCATCGGCGGTTTACAAAATTGCAAGCGCTAATCGGTACTTAATTCAGTTTCGTTTGATCTTTTATTCAGTAACATCCGTCATTGTCAGAGCCAGGAAATAAATACCTTTGCGCATACCCTGGATTTTCGAGTATTTATGATATTCAGAAATTGTTCGAATATGATTTCACAGTTTAATCGAAGAGAAGGATTTGGTCCCGGTTTCTGTTGATCTAAGATTGCCCAAAGAAGCGTGATATTGCATAAGGTCGAAAGACTACTGATTGCAGAAAGGGTGCGGTACGACTAGTAAAAATGAATTTTGACGCTGCACAGTTCTTCCCGAATGGATACGCTTTCGCGACGGGTTCGGACGACGCGAGTTGCAGACTGTTCGACATCAGGGCGGATCAACAACTGTCCATCTACAGCCACGACAGTATTATCTGCGGTATCACGAGTGTAGCGTTCAGCAAGAGCGGTAGATTATTGCTGGCCGGCTACGACGACTTCAACTGCAACGTCTGGGATTCGATGAAGGTTGAACGAGCCGGTACGTCCTCGTTTCTCTATTTAACAGCGTTCAGAGAGAAGAGAAATTTCATTTCAAGCCCTTCTCTCTCCTTTCACGCGGGAAAAACTTCGTCCTGTAGCGCACTGTTGAAATAGTTCAAGGAACACGGAGAGTCGAAAGCACCGGCTACAACATACGGGACACTTGGCTCGAATTGCTCGCTAATTAGATTAGCAACAGGCCTTCTCCGATTAACGTCTTACTCTGAGACGAGGGAACATTATCGTCCTCGCGTTAACATTCTGTTGCTTGCGCCTTCCTTGTGCATCTGCTTCAAAATTTCATTCAATTTTGTTAGGCGCTGTCCAAAAGTATTTCAAATCTGGCAAATCGGCAACCAGATTGATCGAATTGGTTAAAGAATCTGGGAACATGGTTAAGGATTTCTTTCGAAATTGTTCGAAGGAGGCTTCTTCGAGTAGCGCAAGGAGCCTGAAGCTTTAAGTATTCTATGGGGGAAAGTTTGGTTTTAGGGTATCGCAGCTAAGAATTTCTTTTGGAACTGTTTGATGGAGAACATCGCGGAGTCTTCTCGAACAAGCGCGATGGAGTCGGAGACCTATCATTAAATTTTCTGTAGGGACAGTGTCGAGGCTAGTTTTAGGGGATAAACGGAGGTGTTGGCATGATCTGATTTTTGTCGAACAGGAATCCTGGCGGGCCACGACAATCGCGTGTCCTGCCTAGGCGTAACGGAGGACGGCATGGCGGTGGCGACGGGCTCCTGGGACTCGTTCCTTCGTATTTGGAACTAACTTGGGGTTCTCCCCAAGTCGTTCCTCCAAAGAACCAACTGCAACCAATCAGCGTACAGTATAAGCATTAAGTACCACCACCTGACCACCGAAGTCGGCGTGTCCGTATCCTCGATGGAGGCGAGCTACTCGCCCGGTTCACCGGAGTTGACGTTGATCAGAAAGTTTGGACCACCGACAGACACCAGCAACAGCAGTAGCAGCAACAGCAGCAGCAGCAAAAAGCCGAGCAAGAGCAAGTGCAAGAGCAAAGGTGACAAAAAAAGCGTTGGCACGATGGGCCACGAGGCCGGGAACAGTAGCAGCAGCGGGAACAACACCACCAGCAGCAGCGGTAGCAGCGAGTTCAAGAGCGTTTTGGGTTGTGGTGGCAAAAAGGACTACCGGAGAAGCGTCGTCGACTTGACCTGGCGACGCGGCAAAGTCGGCGATAAGATCACTCGTGAATATCAACGCTTCTAAGCACGAGAACTGTCGTTCGGACGTAATTATTCTTATCCAATGACGATCGAGATTGAGAGTGAGAGAGAGAGAGAGAGAGAGAACGAAAGAGAGAGAGAGAGAGAGAGAAAGAATAAGAGAAAAAGAGAGCGAGAGAGAGAGAGAGTGAGAGAGTGAGAAGCGTGAAAGCCATAAAACGGCAGAACGGAGAGCAGCACCAAGGCAAACAGAGCCAAATCCTCTCCGACACGCCGCGCGCACACTTCGTTCTTCTCCGACTCCCACACACGTTTCTCGACGATACTCGAAGAGCACGTGCTGTTACCATAACTCCGATAGCTTCTCCTCGAAGATCTTCCCGCTCGAAGGTTTCTCGGACCCGGACGATCACCGATAATCATCGCTGCCACCTTCGGTGCTCGTCCGGCAAATGGAAGGGGCGTTTCATTTCGAGGAAAACAATAAAATGGGTCCCGAGAGCGTATTCACTGCCGACGAAGCGCCGACATAAGGCTGCTCCTACGGCGGTTGATGATTTTCATACGTTTCTTCTCGACACGCACGAAAGCAGGAGTCGTACCAGGCAAGACTCGATGAAAGAACGAAAACACGGTCGCTCGTGCGCGGCACAAAAGCAAACACGATCATGAGAATTCTATATACATATTTGCATATATATATATGTGTATAATATGTTATATATGTGTATGCATATGTATGTATGTAGATACACATATATGTATCTATATATGCATATATACATGTATGTATAATGCATACGCGTGGCGCACACACAAAAACATGACGTATGTCGACGACGAGCAGTCAGGGTTACGATAATCTCGCATATTGCATTCAAATCTACACGCACACACCGTACGCACGTGTATTAAAGATACGTACATAGGGAACTCCATCACATACATTTGCACACGAAGGCGCAAACGAAAGGCATCTGACACGAACGCACGTGACGACGTGCGGGTCGAACGCACACGTAAACACACACAAACATCTCCAATCATGTTAATCTGATTTTCTTGTACGGCCGACTCTTAGTTTTTCTTTCGTTTCGCCCTCCCCGACTTTTGATCCCCATAATCTTTGCGACCGGAGAAGAAAGAGAGGAAGCATATCGGCTATCGATGATCGTCGATCCGTCGAGCACACCATCAATACCTTTAATTTTTATAGATGTATCGTTATTTATTTTGTATAGACCTCTGTTACGGACCATCCCACTCGCACCTTACTTCTTCTTCTACTTCTTCTACCATTTATCCCTCCAACTTCTTTTCTATTCGTTTTCTCCGCGAAGCTGAGTGAATGTTCGAGCTTTCCAAGAGACTGAACCCGAGAGTGAACGTGTTTCGCATGTGCGAGGATGAGCGAAAGGTCTCGAAGACGCGGCCCAATCAAAGTGCGGGAGAGAGAGAGAGAGAGAGAGAGAGAGAGAGAGCGAGAGAGGAAGAAAGTGACTACCAAAAACCGAGAAAAGGAGACGCAGAGGACACAGGATGAATAACAACTCTACACGAAGCTCCTTCGTCCGATTCTCTCGCGCGCATTTCGTCGAAGTTCGGAGATCGTTTTAAGAAAAAGAGGAACATTGCTGTCGAGAGCCCGACAGAAGAAAGAAGAGAAGAGAGTTCAGGACAGAACGCACGGAGAGTATCCTAATTTCTGTGCAGTTCGCCTCGGAGCACGAAGAGCAAGGGGATATTTAATGTAACGTGTAATCGTTTAGTTTGTAGCCTCCATTCCTTAGAATCCCTTCTAGATAGAAGACCGAGAAGAATTCCTCCTAACTCTCGCCCGACAAAACGGATGACACGCGCGCACAGAGACACACACGCACACATACAGATACACAGTTTTCTTCTGATATCGGTCGTTAAGCACCGACACACAAAACCGAGTCCTCGGACGCGACAAGGAAGGCACGTGTTCTCGACGAGAAAAGTCGTTCCAGAAGTTCCTCTGAAATAGGACCCAAAGAATCACACCGATCGAAGCTACGGACCGCGAGACCAAAACTCTCTCTCACCCCCTCGTCGT